AACGTAAGACCTATCAGCGCCTTTAGATTTGTAATTAATGGTTCGCTTGCAGTTGTGTTAAATAGTCTGGTATGCTTGTAGTGAGGGTATTAGATGTTCAACGGGATGCCTGTGGTGATTACCTCCGTAATGGCGAAAGACAGAGCGCAGTCTGAAGATGTCAGCAATAAAATTACGCAATAAAGGGGAATGCTCATGATGTAATAACATAAACGTCCGGTTTGAGTACAGCAGCATGCAATATTTGAATTTGACAGTTAGTTCCAACGGTAAAGCACACGACGTCAGCTGCTCTCCAGGCCGTCCTGATCGTATGCTGACTTTTTACATACTCATCCTATATATAGTGCAACAGTTATGGTGATGATGTCGTGCTCAACGCAGCGACGCGGGCTTCGCAAAAGAGTATGCGATGTTGTCGCCAACCTAGACGACGACACGGACGGATACCGCAAAAAGACGATCAGATCTCCTGCGAGGTTGACTGAGAATGCCGTCCATATGCCGAACTTGACAAGAGAGCAGAGAGGTGCCCGCAAGCGGCCCCATCGCAGGATAGGATTTCTCGCTATGCCCTATGCACACCACGGATACGTCCCCTCGGTGATTTGCGCGATGTAATCTCGTGTGCATTTCCTTCACATGCGTGCATGCATACAGCGCCATACACCCATGTCAACACCCAAGGCACGTAAGAGTTGCAGTCCTGTACACTTTTTTAACAGCCCGGCATATTAGCCCCCACATCGCTGAACTGACCACCCCATGCACCCCCTTCCTTCCGCTCCCATTTCATCCCCCCAGTCCCCCTAAAAGCTCTTTCCCCTACCCCTTTCCCTCTCTCCCATACACCGTTGTTCATCTTTTCTTTGAAATGACTATACTACAACAACACTATATGGTCAACAATACCCCAACGCTGTAGTTCTCACCTATAGCTAACACACGGCATTCCGTTGCCTTCAACAACAACAGCAACAGCAACACCCTGCATCAGTCCACTCCAGGAGGAACAACCGTAAGCGCCATTACTACTGGTTCCATTCGACCATTTTCGACAACATCATTCAAGAAGGACCTATAACCACTTGCGAACACACCTCGCAGACTGAATTTTGCCAAATGGGAAATCTTCCCAAATGGAAAAATCTTCCCAAACGGAAAAATCTCCTCTCGCGGGGAGGTGCATCTCCGCTCAGTCCTCTTTATGAGTCCCCCGAGAGACGACGATCAACCAAGTACGTACTACAGCCATAGCTTGCCGCAGGTGGCCCATAGAGAGGACCTTTTCCCCCAAACTTGTTATATGTGTGTGTAAGTGTGTTATAGCTGTCATAGGGTTTTCTCTCTGTCTCCTTCACAGCGGCCAGAGCTGCTACCCTACTTTTAATGCCAACGACGGCGCCATCACTCGCTCTCGTCCTCGGCGTTGTGTGGGTACCGTGGTGTGGTGCGGTGGCCCCGCGGGCGCTTCGAAGGTGAGGGAGGTCGCGGCGGCGCCGCTGCGGTACGGCCGTTTGACTGGTCGCCGCTGCCCTGTCGCTGCGTGCCGCTGGTAGTGCCCTTCCGCACGTTGCCATTACCTCCAACAACACCGCCAACGTAATCACCGACGCCGCCAGACGATGTGGCGGGTTTGCCCTCCGCACCGCCGCCAGTGCTGCAGCTCCCGCCAGTAACGGAGCGCAGTACGGCACCCAGAGCACCCAGCGGTCCCCCGGAGGTGGCGGGGGAGGTGGCGGGGTACGACTCATTGACAGGCGCGCTGCTGCCCGCGGATGGTGGATATGCAGCGGCGGCGGCGGCGGCGGCGGGGGTGGTGGTGCTTCCGACTGCACCAGCTCCCCTTTCTCCTCCTCCTTCCACACCAGGCTCCGTCACTGGTTGCGCCACCTGTCTCTCACCTGCCGCCCCCTCCTCCTCCCCCTCTCTGGTTGGCGGCGGTGCTGCCACTGCTGGCCCCAGGGCTGGCTCAGTGTCCCCAAGCTCCACATCCACACTGTAACGCATGTCCCCGAACGCGGGCATGTTGTCGTGAGAGCCCGCCATTCCGTTTGGCGGTGGCAGCGGCGGCGGTGAAGGCCAGGGCAAATCCGCCTGGACCGGTTCCGTCGACAGCACGTGCAGCTGCTGCTGCTGCTGCTGCTGCTGCTGGCCAGTCCTGTCCGCCGCCGGCTCCCCTGGCGGGCTGATGGCGGCGCCGCCGCCGTACAGCCCCTGGCTGCCGGCGGCGGCGCTGAGGAGGTCCATGCTGTCGTGCGGCCCCACGGGCTCCACACCCACCACCGGCGTCATCACGTCCACCTCCTCCCGCAGGTCCGCAGCCGCGGCCCGGGACTGTCCCACCTCTCCTTGAGATACCTCAGTATCAGCGGTTGCTGCTGCTGCCCCTGCCTTGGCCAGGGTGTCCTCCGGGAAAGCAGCTGTGGAGGCTGAGGCTGAGGAGGCGGCGGGGGAGGGGGAGGGGGATGAGGAGGACAGGAGGGTTTCGGAGCCGGGTGTTGTGACGCCCTCTGGTGGAGGTCCCTCGGTGTCCGACTCGGTCGCTGACATGGAGGATGAGAAGGAGGAGACGGCGGCGCGGCCCAGGGAGGGCGGGGGGTGGAAGCTGGGCTGGCCGCTGTCGGCCCGGAGCCGGTTCCACGCCATTCCCCAGGGGTCCACACGCCGGGGCGCCTGCAGGGGCGCGGAGAGAGCACTCGGACCCGGACAACAGGTCACAACGACAAAATGAAGTTGGAGGGGGGGCGGGGTGGGGAGTGCGGGGAAAAGGTCTTTGCGAATTGCTGTACCTAAGATTGTGTGTTTGCGTGTGTGTGTCTCTGTCTGTATGTGTATGTGTATGTGTACGTGTGTCCCCGTGTGTGTGTGTGTATGTGTATGAGGGCATCTTGGCGTGTCAGTTGCGGCACCACCTAACTCGCGGAAGGAAACAAATATCGACATGGCGGCCCTTCATGTGCCGTACATGTAGCTGTAGTTTCTGGAAAGGCCCAGAGGCCCCTAGCGGCTCGGATGTAGACCTCCCTGGGCCCATGTCTTGGGCGTGAGGTGATAGCCGGGGACCCCCCGGTGCTGCTAGGCCTAATATTTCGAACATCCGACCCATCATCCACAACCACCTGTACGACCAACGGAATGGGTAGCAGCACGTGGTGATTGTTGCACATGCCCACAGTAACCCCCGTGAAGCCTGTGGGGAGGAAGTGGGGGGAGGGGGGTGGGAGAGTGGGGATCCAGATTCCTCAGTCAATGTGCGTGTGTGTGTTTGTTGGGGGGGAAAATAGCTCCCCCCCCCACCCCCGGTCAGGAACCCCCGGTATGACTCTTATTCGCCATTCACCCCTTCCCATGCATACATGCATACATACATGCACAGACACGCCAGCACACACTTGGGGGATATTCGGCTGGTTGGGTGGAACCACCGCCCACCCGCCCACCCGCCCGCCCGCCCACCCAGCCACCCGCCCGCCCACCCGCCCACCCGCCCA